AAGTAGAGGTGGGCTACACCCTGATGGGGGCTGTGGGTGGACTAGAAGTAGAGGTTTGCTACACCCTGATGGGGGCTTTGGATGGACTAGAAGTAGCTGTCATCCTAAGGCAGCCCTGAAAACAGAACAAAATAACAAACTTTAGAAAATTCAGAGGTGCCACAGCGAACAGATCCTGCTTTGATGCAGTTCAGTAGCCCGAGTACAAAGCAGGGACCATCCAGTGTGCCGAGGTTACCCAGTGAGCTGATCTATCAGTTCTGATTCTACATCCAAGAGCAGAAAGTAAACAAAAGGCCGACATCACTTTTAACTGATGAAACAGCAAATTCCACGAATCAATAAATGCAATTTATCGGCCAACTTGAATCTAAATACTTTATAAATGATCCTATTTACAATGAATAGACTCAGAGGAAACCAGGTAAAACCTTCTGGACCACGTTCAACATGAAGGTATGGAGGAAGACTATCACTGAACGCAGAAGAATGCTGAGGCACGGTGGTGGCAGCGTCATGCCGCGGGGCCAGCCTTCTTCAGCAGAGACGTAGAGGCAGGTCAGAGTTGATGGGAGGATGCATGGAGCTAATGAGATGGAGGTCCACCTAGAAGTACCACCCCAACCCTCCAGGCAGAGAACAGATCTAGGATCAGGTCCAATTAGGTCCTCCAGAACCTGAGTCCTTAACACAGTGGATTGCTGAAATCCTGATGGTCCACTGGTCTAAATCAGGTTCTAAACCAGGGATTGCTCTTGAACAGGCAGGACACAGAGCCCTGAGAACCAACTGATTAACAGCAGGAACCGACTCAACATCAATGATTTGAGTAAAACATTAGCAGCAATAAGATAAACGATCCAGAGGAGAAATAAATAATCCAGATAAAAGTACCAACATAAAAACACCTGAAGAAAGTCAGGTTAGTTTACGCCTCACAGTGGTTCAAAGGGCGAAGCCGCCATAATCTGAGCCTCTACTGTCTGTCCCATTAGATCTCAAAGAAACACTGAATTTATGGTTTCGGGCCGGACTGAATATAAAATCCTTCCCCGTCTGAAAGTACAGTTTTTACATCTATACTGTAATGAAATAAAAGCAAAGTAGATCGACTTAGTTACTAACACTTCATCAGGTTTTCTAGTTTAATGTTCAGCCTCAGCTTAAGTCAGCAGAGTTTTTAATGTGTGGTTCTTACTGTTTGCTGCCTTTCATCGCAGCTCTGAGGTATTCAGGCTGTGTAACACATTAAAACCCTGAGCCAAGAAACAGAGAGGGTCTGCATCTGGATGCAGCTGTTATGATCGTAACATCTGGATGCAGCTGTCATGATCATTACATCTGGATGCAGCTGTCATGATCATTACATCTGGAT